GGAAGGATTGTAAGGTGTATATGTCTGTCTGGAAGGTATCATCTGACCTTGACCTCATTTTCATGGTTCATTGGTCAATGTTAAGTTTTCATGGTTAAGTTTGTTTCTTTATAGATACTATAAGCAATAGGTCAACTATATTTAATGCATAAATTGATTGTAAGGTGTACATGTCTGTCTGGCATGGTTCATCTGACCTTGACCTCATTTTCATGGTTCATTGGTCAATGTTAAGTTTTCTTGGTTACGACTGTTTCTTAGAAACTATAAGTAATAGGTCAACTATGTTTGGTTTTTTGAATGATTGTAAGGTGTACATGTATTTCTCGTTTGGTTTATCTGACCTCATTTTCTTGGATCATGTTAGTCTATGTGTTACTTGTAGTAAAGCTTTATATTTAGGACTATCAACATAAAATCAATGGTTAGTAAAGAAGGCGAGGCATTTCAGTGTGTGCACTCTTGTTTATATGATGTTCCTTGTATAAACTATGTTTTTAGCGTTTGAGAAATGCTTTTTAATGTATAGGAAATTTTAAAATGTGAGATGATTTTAGGAAAAAAAGAGATTGTTGGATATGACCATAGAAGGAACCTTTGTTAAAGTCTTTACTTTAGGTAAGACTATTTGAAGGTTTGTTATTGTACTTGTTGTTTTTGGTACTTATTGCTAGTAGAGCTTGAAATATGATACAGAAATTTGTCTAGTATTGAGGTGTAATACCACCAAATCATAGTACGTCACATCCGGTTGCATAAAAATAGGTCGAAAAAAAATATTCCCTTGAATTTGACAGTTGTAGGTAATTAATCCTACATTTCATTGCAGTAAAACATTTCTGGGTCATAAACATATATCTTGGGTATTTAAAAGCACCATTAATTTTTTATTTGGGGTTTCTATAGAATATTTTGGAAACTTGAGGTTACTTATAAAGCTTGTACACAGGTTAATAAAAGGGGAAATTTGATTGGTTAACTTCCAGTGATGGTTATTTTCTTATATGCAATGAAATGTAATGTGAAATTTTTTCTATAGTACTGGACAGGATAAAACTTTACTCATGCCAAGTATTTCTTTATTTGAAACAAAGATAAATTCTGCACATTTTTTTGAAAAGTGCAAATTTAACAAAGACTAATAGGGGAAAATCAATGGTGGTATTACACCTTGAAGACCATTTGTTGATCTCCATAAGTCTTTTTTGCTTTATTTTTGATATGACTGTTTCCTGTCTTATTGATTATATCTAGAACAAAAAAAATATTGAACACATTTTTTGAGTCCTCAGGAAAAACATTGCCTCCTTACTATGTTTACTATGTGATATAAGTTTGGAAAAAATTTCATGTCTGACCATTTCAGGCATACATATCTAATAAAAAATCAGCCCACATATGAAGAATTAAAAAGTGTTTGACAACTTGATCTGGGATAGTACTTTGATACTTTATATGTTTATGTATTTAAATACTTGTACTGAAATCAATCCCATTTTTTAAATGAAAGAAAAAGAAAGTGTTATTTGTTTTTCTTAGCCTATACAATGAACAAAAAATGTTAAATGGGTACAGTTCATAATGTAAGCATTGTTGATATAATATTAATCTTAACATACAGTCAGTATATGTCAAAAAAGTATGTTATCTATGTTTTAAACATACCATTGAAATGTTCTCAATATTAACTTTCACATAAAATCACTTCTTTTGTTGGTCTTCTTCAGTGGAATCATCTTTATACCTCAGTTGATCACAGACTGAAAAACCTCAGGACTGAGGCTATAGACTCAGTGCAGGCAGACTGAGAGTCACCCTTGAAATTACAACAACTTGAGTTTGATACACTGAAGAAGGGATATAAAAGAGAGGCGAAAGATACCAAAAGGACATTCAAACTCATAAGTAGAAAATAAACTGGCAACGCCATGGCAATTGCAAATGCAAAAATATAGTTCTATCATTATTAGGCTGAATTCCAAGATAAAATATTTAAAGTCTTTTATAGTTTCTAGCTGTCCAATGGAGAATATATATGGTAAGAGTGGTTGCAAGATGAGTGGTATGAATATATTGAAAGACATTTTATTCAATACTCATAGTATATGAAAAAGTACCTAGCAGTGTAGCAATTTGTGTATTTAGGAACAAATATCATTGCATAGCTGCATTCATTAATAAGATTATAAATTTTTATTTTACAGATGAATGTATGTGCCAGATATATCCTCCAATCACATAATTAGGGCCCCGCCTAGTGGCGGGTCGCCCTATAGTGATCAGTCTGTCTGTCCGTCCGTAACAAATTGTGTCCGCTCTATATCTAGAGAACTGTTATAATTTCATACTTTATACTTGACATGTATATTAACCAACACCAGAGGGTGTGTCATAATGTTTGTATAACTTCCTTGGTCAAAGTTCAAGGGTCAAAAACTTTGGTTTCAGAAAACAACCCCATGTCCTATGGTAAAGATCGTGTCTGCTCTATATCTTGAGAACTGTTATGATTTCAAAGTTTATACTTAATATATATATTAACCCACACCAGAGGGTGTGTCATTTTCTATGTACAACTTCCTAGGTCAAAGGTCAAGGTCAAAAACTTTGGTTTCAGTTGACAACCCCTTGTCCTATGGTAAAGATGGTGTCCACTCTATATCTTGAGAACCGTTATGATTTCAAAGTTTATACTTGATATGTATATTAATTAACCAACACCAGAGGGTGTGTCATAATGTATGTACAACTTCCTAGGTCAAAGGTCAAGGTCAAAAACTTTGGTTTCAGTTGACAACCCCATGTCCTATGGTAAAGATCATGTTCGCTCTATATCTTGAGAACCGTTATGATTTCAAAGTTTATACTTGACATGCATATTAACCAACACCAGAGGGTGTGTCATAATGTATGTACAACTTCCTAGGTCAAAGGTCAAGGTAAAAAACTTTGGTTTCAGTTGAAAACCCCATGTCCTATGGTAAAGATACAAATTTTTTACCACAAGTTATTTACAGCAGGGCCCACAGAGATGGCTCCCATCTAAATGATGTCTAGTTGTTTCTGATCTGGGTCCTTTCTTTCCTTCCATCACTTACCGTCTTCTATTTGTGCATGACTATCATTGACATACACAAAGCTTCTGGGTTGTACAATAATTGTTGTCTTAAAGAAATATATGGATTTATTGATTGTTGGTTGAAAAGAAGAAAACAAAATATACAGGAATGTGGAAAAGTATGTAAATGGTTTTTTTGCTCTATAAGTTGCCAGTATCATGACTTCAGAGTTTAATTTTTGGAATGTTGGATTCAAATATTTGTTTATTGCACAAACTTATTTCATGTTATTTTGACAAATTGATTTAACTATGTGTTTTAGTCATATTTAAATACATTTGTTGACATAACATGCTTTGTACAAAAAGATTTTAAGTCTGTTTTTCTCATAACTTTTCCTGATTTAATCCCTAGACTTTTTAAGTACTACTTGAGTTCTTTCCTTATGCAGTTATACTTATGCTTTAGTTTTAAACATCTTATCAATTTATAATTCTAGATTTTTTTAACTTTTACAGTGAAATAATGGTATCGATTTGTATTTTTTGCTCTTTTCATTTTTCAGTATTTGTCCAGTATTTTGTAATAGCACCAAAGGATTTGAATTATCAATGTTTTCATAAAATTATAGTAACACATTTGCAATATATTATATTATATAATCTGTTCTAATAGGGCCATGGTAAAAATCATATCACCATGGTCCCATCATTTGCTATAAGACCCTGAGTAGAACTCAAACCCTGGTCCTTTTATGCAATATTGCCATGGGGAGAACCCTGCTTCTGTGTTCATAGTATCTTACTGTTCTCAATCTGAATGCAGAAAAAGTTCTGTTGGAAGGTCAGCTTGTATAATATCAAATTGATAATCCCTGTGAAAGAAAACGGTGATGAATACTAGTCAGCAATTCAAAGTTTTTCTTGAATGTTCCTTAACTGAAAACCTGTTTGGAAATACTCTTTTAACATTTATTGTGTTACCAATGTTCCATTTAGAACAGTATTCTTGGTCTTGAAATATTTATTTCTTTTAAAAAATTCTTGGCAAATGTGATCGAGAATTGCATAAAGTGTTCATTTGTGGGAAAATTTTCAGTACTTGTCTAGAAGTTGTTTATCTTGAAGACCAAGGTTTGTTAGATATCAGAAGTGGGAACAGTTATTATAACTTTCATTAATATTGGCCATTATATTGACATACATACACATTCACTCTACACTTGAAATTTTTGTTTTAGCAGATTTGATAAATTAGGCATGAATACTCAATAAATATTGGGTACTTGATGTTAAAATCTACTAAGTAGGTAGTATAAGTCTGATATATATAGTTTGTATTTTGGAGCCAATCAGAACAAATATTTTCCTTCTTTTAATGAACAGTATATATGATCATAGATGGAAATTTATTTATCTCTGCATTAGGAAAAAATAAATATCTGAATAATGTTTGACAAATCATAAAAGAGCTAATGGTAAAAGAGATTTCACTTCAATTGGATTAGTGCGGGTGGCTAAATACTACACGCAATTGTAGACAATTTTATTTAAACACCTGGATCTTTAAGATTTAACTTTAATCTGATGGATAAATTGTTTATTAAAGTCATTTAATGAATGAAATGAAAGTTTGGATACTGAGAAAGTTTACAAGGATGATTTATTCTGAAAGTAACATTCCAAATGCTTGAATAGGAATTCTATTGTAAAAAGAAGAATATATTTATCATGTGAATTAACATTTAAAATTGAAGAGAACTTTCAGATTATGTGGTTTACAAGCCTTTCCTTTGTGTAGAAGTTGTTGTGTATTTCATAAGTGATTGTTTTAAATGTAATTTTTACGGAATGTAAGTTTAACAGTTTCATTTCAAGTTGATAAGAATAATTTTTAATAAAAACATTGAGAAATGTTGGAATTAAATTCAACAGTTGAGAAAGGAAGGATGGATGATTTTAGTTATGATTACGAGATAAACTCTGACAGAGAATGGAATACATTACATACAAAAACACGCACCTTATGGATGAATCCTTGTAGAATTTTACCTCCAATGTAAGATTTTAAACATTTCATCTAGATTCATGATACAGAATTATAATTATTTGCATTCTATAGTAGTATAAAAATAGTGCTGTAGAAAAAATTAACCAAAAAAAAGGTTTGCAAAGGTCGGTCATTGATGTAAATTTAATTATCATCTTGAATTGAGCAAAGGTCCGTCATTGATTTAAATTAAATTATCATCTTAAAATCTGTTCACTACAAAAAAAACATTTCTACTTAGAAGACATATGGTTTTAATTGTCATTTCATGTGTCAAATGATGTGTTTGATGTTACATAGAAAGTTAACATGAGTAATATAAAACCTGTACAATATGTTTGCAAATTTCTAAAAATGCCAATAATTTGACATATATAACATTGATATATAATATACCAAAACAAGCATGTTCCACACCTAGCACTGCTGCTGCCAGTGTAATAGTGTAATGTTGACTGAATATAATTAAGTCCATTTATCAGTGAAATACAGAAAAAAGGAAAAGAAACAAATTAAAATTTAGCTTGGGTGCTAATTGTTGATAAGGATCTTCTATTCAAGTTTGTAAAGTTCCATGAAGATTTGACAAAGTAATTAAAGTTTAGACAAATTAACTGAGGATTTCACCTCAATTTTTACTGCAAATAAAAATCCAAGTTTATCTATCAGTAAAATATGGAAAAATGAAGAAAAAAAATGTTAATGTTTCAAACTTTTGCTTCTATTAAATCCTATCTCTTGAGCATGAAGAAGCTTCTGTCTTAGTTTTGTAAAATTCTGTGATTGTTTGACAAAGTTATTGATCTGTAAATGGGGACCATCTAGAAGTTTCTCCCCCCTCCTCCCTCTGTGACCACTGTGGACAGGTGGAAATCACATGAAATCCACCTGAGCTGTAATGCCAGAAAATTTTCAATTACACACACATAGGATTCATGATGGCGACTGTAAACACTTCCGTAATTTTGATATCAATTGTTTATATACCCAAACCAAAACGTCCTGCCAGCATGCATCATGTTTTACATATATAACAGTATATATACTCAATTGCCATTATAAGACCTTTCCAGTGCACCATAGGTTTTGTTCTGTTGGGTTATCCCCCACCCCTAATATCTAAAATTATGTATTGTATAAAAAATAAATGGGGAATGTGTCCATGGGATACAGATGATGCCCCAACTTGCATATCATATAAAGTTATAAAGGGATATAACTGAAGAACAGTAAAAGTGACGCTACCCAAATTTGTACTTGATCTGAGTTTTGTGGTAATAAGTATTGTGTATAAGTCTCATAACATTTGGTTGAGGCTAACTTAAGTTAGAGAACAGAAATGAAAAATTCAGCAATTATTCCATTTGTAAACAGGCATAACTCTAGAACGGTAACAGTGACACCACCAAAATTCAAACTTGATCTGTATTTTGTGGTAATTAGCATTGTGTATAAGTTTCATAACATTTGGTTGAGTCAAACTAAAGTTAGGGAACGGAAACGAAAAATTCAGCATTTTTATGTTTATAAAGGGGCATAACTCAAGAATTGTAAAAGTGACGCCACCCAATTTCGAACTTGATCTGTATTATGTGGTAATAAGCATTTTGTATATGTTTCATAACATTTGGTTGAGGCAAACTAAAGTTAGAAAACGGAAACGAAAAATTCAGCAATTTTTCCATTTGTAAAGGGGCATAACTCTAGAACGGTTATAGTGATGCCACCAACATTCAAACTCGATCTGTGTTTTGTGGTAATAAGCATTGTGTATAAGTTTCATAACATTTGGTTAAGGCAAACTAAAGTTAGAGAACGGAAACCAACTTTGGGACGTATGGACAGACTTAAAACTTAATGCCGCTACGGCAGGGGCATAACTATATTTCAGATCCCCAATCCTTAACCATAAATATTATGTTATGTCTTGATAATTATTAACCTTTCCAGTACTAGATTGTGTATTGTGTCTTCCTATACTGGAGAGACTCATATAGATGAAGTACTAGATTGTGTATTGTGTCTTCCTATACTGGAGAGACTCGTATAGATGAAGAAGAGGCATTAGATAAATTCTACTTAGACAGTTCCTATCATGATTTCCTTGATAGAGGAAGCTATTAAACCAGGATTTACAAGTGGTGAAGTTGAAATCATCCCTTCCTTAATTTTACAGAGGCCATCACTAGTTGATTGACTGTTATGGAATATCTGCTTCACAGATAAGAAGGGATGTGTTCCAATTGTCGTACATGTACCACAATCCCACCCTCTTTTCCCTGAATTTGACATACCAAATTAGACTTATCACTGGGTGCCACATGTGTAGCAGGATCTGCTTACCTTTCTTTAGCACCTGAGAATACCCCGGGTTTTTGGTGGGGTTCGTGTTGCTCATTCTTTAGTTTTCTATTTTGTGTTTTGTACTTTTGATTGTCTTTTTTACTTTATCTTTTTTGCCATGGTATTGTCAGTTTATTTTTAACTTATGAGTTTGAATACCCCTTTGGTATCTTTAACCTCTCTTCTTACACTTAGTAAAGTTTATGTACAATGAAAAAAATTATAGTAAAGTTTATGTACAATGAAAAAAATTATAGTAAAGTTTATGTACAATGAAAAAAATTATAGTAAAGTTTATGTACAATGAAAAAAATTATAATATGTAAGATTGTTAATAAGGACAGTGCCCTTTCTGAATATTTAGTTGAAATGCTGAATGATTTTTTTAAACCAGGACAACTGACGTTAAGTTTCTATCCACAAAAAAAGTTGAACATACAAAATAGGTAGTTTAATAGTTGTGGTTCCATTCAAATAGAAATGTGTACTAACATCCAATGAAGAGATTACAGCCCCTCCCCTACATCACACTGGAGTGGATTTTTCATGAGATTATCCTTATATAATGGGTTGATTTCACTGTTGCTAGCTTTGTCATGAACTGACTGCATACCCATGGAGTGGCAAATAAATAGATTGATAAACTTTGTGTTATTTACAAATACTAAGCATGATGTGGTAGTTTAATTAAATTTTGAGACTAAAGTACTGTGTGACACTTTTCTATAGCATGTTGCTAATGTTAGAGAATTGGGTTGAAAGAATGTTTTGTCTTAAATTTAATTAAATTCAAAAGTCAAATTTCATAATGGCTTTATTGTTTTATTTAACTTGCTTTGTAAATATTTATTTAACTGTAAATTAACATTACTGATGAGTGTTTTAGTGTTGTAAGGGAAGTAACTCTAGAAGAAATATGCAGCAATGAAAAACTTAGACATAATTTTATTATCTCCCTTCTATCATCTTTCTGTATTATAGATGACTCAGATTTCTGAAAACTTGGTTTGTAGGGTTTCATTGAAAAAGAAATACTAAGACAAAATGACGTCATAATAAGCATTCATCTTAAAATTCCACAAAATTCAAAGAAAACAAGAAAATAGCAATAGGTTTATGGAAATGGAAAAACAAATTGCATGTGTCAACAAAATTTTTTTTTTTACATTATTGAGCTATCTGACTTGATTATTTAGTTTACCGAATCCTTCACTCGATGTTTCCTAGGGGTAATTCTCAATGAAATCAGACGATTTTGTCAACGTTCACAAGAATCTATTTTTGACCTAATTAGGGTGTCTTGTTTTACTTTCTCACGCACAGACATGCATCATCTCCTTGAAACACTTTTCATCTTGAAATTATGGACTTAATATTTGGTGTTGAAAAGGATCCTTTCTGAACCTACTCATTTAATTGTGTTTGGATCATTTTCAAATGGCAAATATAATATTTATTTTCAATTTTCTTTTACCAGTTTTTGATCTACCTGTTTTAGAGATCCCCACAGTTATTTACTGAACGTTAAGTTTTACACTGGGTACTCACTGGTTCTTTTGGTACAAATGATAAACAAGAAATTGTTACAAAAAATGATATTGAATGGTTAACCTCTTCAAACATACAAAATAAACTTTCTTAGTGTGAACTCAGGACCTTATTTGAATCAGATTGATGACACAAGAGTAAGGTATTTATTTATATTCTAGAAATTGATTGTGTTTTAAATAAATTTTCTATGGTTCAGTCATAGAAATGAATGATGTTTTGAAGCATATTTTATGTTTAGAAAGAAAAGAAATTATATGGTGAATCATTTGACACAAAATCACTACAAGCACTTGAAAAAGTCTACAGCAAAGGAATGCTTTTATTGCTGTTCTTCATCTCAAAGGTATAATAGGCCTTCAATCTAGCCTTAGCACCAGTAGTTGAGGAGAATTCTTTTCAATAAACTGTCAATTGAGATATTTTCTTTACATCTGTGTAATGATGGTAGTAAAGGTGTATGTATGTTTTGTAATAAAGGTAGTCAAGGTGTATGTAACTATGTATTTGATTGTGAGTTCGAATCCCACACAGGGCAGGTGCACTAGACTCCAATCTTAATTGACTAGGATCGTCAGTTTTCCTCCTGAAGGTCGGTGGTTCTCTCCGGGCACTACAGCTTCCTCCACCAATAAAAACTGACCGCCATGAAATAGCACAATAGTGTTGAAAGTGGTGTTAAACACCAACCAATCAATCAATCAATGTATGTGATTGTGTAATAAAGGTAGTAAAGGTGTATGTATGTTTTGTGTAATAAAGGTAGTAAAGGTGTATGTATGTTTTGTATATTTCAGATGTGTATGTATGTTATGTGTATTTCAGTCGTGTATGTATGTTTTGTGTATTTCAGTTGTGTATGTATGGTTTGTGTATTTCAGTCGTGTATGTATGGTTTGTGTATTTCAGTCGCATATATATGTTTTGTGAATATCAGTCGTGTATGTATATTTTGTGTATTTCAGTTGTGTATGTATGTTTTTTGTATTTCAGTCTATATGTATTTTTTGTGTATTTCAGTCGTGAAGAAATGAATGATGTAATGGACGACAGTGACGATGAGGACAGTAATTTGATTAGCTGGGGTTGTGGTGAGTTTGGTCAGCACGGACATGGTATTCAGGAAGATATTCCTATTGATGATGGTTTAATAGACAGGTTCACTAGAAACAGTCAAGTCAAGATGGCAGCATGTGGTGCAAGTCATGTGATAATAGTAACTAGTAAGTGTCACAGGATCCTAGCTATTTATTGCATTTATGACTGTTATATCTAAGTGTCTCAGGATCCTAGCTATTCATGCGTTAATGACTGGTATATCTAAGTGTCACAGGATCCTAGCTATTTATTACATTTATGACTGTTATATCTAAGTGTCACAGGATCCTAGCTATTTATTACATTTATGACTGTTATATCTAAGTGTCACAGGATCCTAGCTATTTATTACATTTATCACTGTTATATCTAAGTGTCACATGATCAAAATATGAACTGATATATTAATGATATTATTTTTGGTATTTTTCTGATAGATCGAATTAGTTCTTTACAGTTAATATTTCCAGGAAGTCTGGGTTTAAATTTGTTTGACATGATGAATTTGTAAATCTTCATGCATTGTTATGAAACTTGGACAGAAGCTAATCTTCAAGACCAAGAAAAAGCATGAAAAGAAAAAGTTTGATTTTTCTGTATTTTACTGTTAAATGGACTCACTTTTTAAGTCAACATTACACTTAAACACTAACAGCAGCAATTGCAGGCGAGACACAGGGTTCTGTGGAACTCCTTACAAATTTTTAAGTTTATAAAATAAAGGAATGGAAGGTACAGTTTGACAAAAAAAAATGCTAGAGATCAAGTTATGACAGATTAACTGGAGGAATTGGCCATACTTACACAGTGGAATTCCACTTCCTATGCAAATCATGAGAAAAGAAATTGCAGAAGGTTATTATGTATCCAAATTTTAAATATAAAGCACAATTTTTCGTATATATATCGTTCCTGAAAAATCATTCGTAAATATAGCTCAACATGCAGACTTCTTATACGTTCAGGTTTTTCACATCCAATTTTTTATGGAAATATTCTTTATAAAGCACAAAAATGTCAGTATTCACCTCTGAAGCTAACAAAACCTTTAAATAGACTTATTAAGAAGGGATATAGTTACGATACTGTTGTCAGGTCATTAAAGATTGCATATTTTGGCGTTAATATTGATTCACTTATAGGGTCTTTGCATCGGCACTAAACACATTTATTTAAAAACCAGTTGTTGGCATGACACGGGTTATGTTCTTCTCATATATGTTATGATGGTATGATACTAAACCCCTAACGGGAAGGATTGTGCCTGATATTCATATGATGAAGACATAATCTTTCAATCAGTTTAATTGAAGTCTGGAGCTGGCATGTCAGTTAACTGCTAGTAGTCTGTTGTTATTTATGTATTATTGTCATTTTGTTAATTTTCTTTGGTTACATCTTCTGACATCAGACTCGGACTTCTCTTGAACTGAATTTTAATGTGCGTATTGTTATGCGTTTACTTTTCTACATTGGCTAGAGGTATAGGGGGAGGGTTGATTTCTCATAAACATGTTTAACCCCGCCGCATTTTTGCGCCTGTCCCAGGTCAGGAGCCTCTAGCCTTTGTTAGTCTTGTATTATTTTTAATTTTAGTTTCTTGTGTACAATTTGGAGTTTAGTATGGCGTTCATTATCACTGAACTAGTATATATATTTGTTTAGGGGCCAGCTGAAGGACGCCTCCGGGTGCGGGAATTTCTCTCTGCATTGAAGACCTGTTGGTGACCTTCTGCTGTTGTCTGTTCTATGGTCGGGTTGTTGTCTCTTTGACACATTCCCCATTTCCATTCTCAATTTTACTATAAAATCAGAAGTCCTTGACAAACCAAAGTAATGGAAGTTTTTGAATTGCCTGAATTAGAATTTTATGATTCCTGAATAAATCTGATATCCTTGTTTTAACACGATTATATGTAGTTATGAAAGAGGATATCAGAAGACAAATATACATGTAGCAAAGACTCAATCAATCTGCTTTTAGCTGTACATGTGTCATTCTATTTTAATGATTAAATCTAATCTTGCTTACCTTAAAACTGGAGCAAAACTTATGCAGTTCAAAGAAAATACAAAAAAGCCTTGGAATATGAAAGTCTTTGATAAGAAGTGGTTCCCAAATAAGATACTGGCCTTAGTTAGTCTTGTCTGTGTTTTTAATTTTAGTTTCATTTATGTGCTTTGGAGTTTAGTGTGACGTCCATTTTCACTGAACTAGTACACATTTTTGTTTAGGGGCCAGCTGAAGCCCGCCTCTGGGTGCGTGATTTTCTCGCTGTGTTGAAGACCCATTGGTGGCCCTGGCTATTTTCTGCTCTTTGGTCGGGTTGTTGTCTCTTTGACACATTCCCCATTTCCATTCTCAATTTTATTGTTTCCTATTTAGAATGTTTGTTTCCAAGAATCTGTTTCTTTGACAAAAACTCCATGCATATAATGAGAGTAAGCCTTGAAAATGTTCATGTATAAAATAGCTTTTATTTTGTGGATTAATTTTGATGTTGCATGTACTAAAATTATTCTTTCTTTAATTTATTACATATGTACTTTTTGAATAAATGGGATTGACTTGTCTTGGAATTTAGCCTCTCAAGACCTGCTTTTTAGCTCACCTGGCCTAAAAGGCCAAGTGAGCTTTTCTCATCACTTGGCGTCCATCGTCCATCGTCATTAACTTTTACAAAAATCTTCTCCTCTGAAACTACCGGGCCAAATTTAACCAAAATTGGCCACAATCATTATTGGGGTATTTAGTTTTAAAAATGTGTCCGACGACCCCGCCAGCCAACCAACATGGCCGCCATGGCTAATAGTAGAACATAGGGGTAAAATGCAGTTTTTGGCTTATATCTCTGACACTAAAGCATTTAGAGTAAATCTGACATGGGATAAAAATGTTCATCAGGTTGAAATCTATCTGCCTTGAAGTTTTCAGATAAATCAGATGACCCGTCGTTGGGTTGCTGCCTCTGAATTAGTAATTTTAAGGAAATTTTGCGGTTTTTGGTTATTATCTTGAATATTATTATAGATAGAGATAAACTGTAAACAGCAATAATGTTCAGCAAAGTAAGATCTACAAATAAGTCAACATGACCAAAATTGTCAATTGACCCCTTAAGAAGTTATTGTCCTTTAAAGTCAATTTTTAACAATTTTTCGTAAATTTTTGCAATCTTTTACAAAAATCTTCTCCTTTGAAACTACTGAGGCATATTTAACCAAACTTGGCCACAATCATCCGATGACCCCGCCTGCCAACCAACATGGCCAATATGGCTAAAAATAGAACATAGGGGTAAAATGCAGTTTTTGGCTTATATCTCTGAAACTAAAGCAAAAGTATAATGGTTGCATTATTTCATGCATCAATTGTAAACAAAAATATCAGGTGAGCGACACAGGCTCCTTGGAGCCTCTAGTTTAATTAGCTTCATCAATATTGTTTATAATTCTGAAACAATGTTAGGGTTAATGAGACTTTTGTCCAAGTTTGATTTTATATAAACTTATTTCAATTGTGTACTTCCTTCATGAATATGCCCTTGATCATATGTGGAAAATATTCTTTTTCATAACTTTACCAAGTTATTCTTAACTTGAAAATGTTGATAGGGACTGTGAAATTTTGATGGTAGTTTGTTCAACAATTGGAGTATGCATTGTTTAAGTCATATCCTTAAGGGAATTCAGTGTAAATTCAGTTCAAAACTACCCTAGACTTGGCGTTTCACATTGACGCATTGTATGACACTAGACCACATTTGACCTGTGGGTATCTTTTTTTATGTTGTTTTAAGTTGCTGTCTGATTGACATATACTCAATATCTCCTTCCATTCATTTTTGATATTTTAACTTGCTGTTAGGTAAAACTTGGCTACCAGTAAAAATTCTTGAGTTACCTCCCTTATGCTGTATATTTTGAACACACATTTGATGAGCCTCTGATTCAGAACAAAATAGTTTGCATATTAGCCTCTACTTAAATTGTGTTTTAGTTACTAAATATGGTAAATGTTTCACCTATTTAAATCTTTATCACATAATGATTTACAAAAATCACACTTGAATGTGGTTTTATTTTATGAAAATTTATGATCTATAGAAAAAAAATATTTTCAAAACCTCCCTTTTTTAAAAAAAAAAGTAATGTTTGAATGTAAATTTTACACTATTTATGTACTCAATTATTTTTGATCCAGTGAAAATTAAGACCCTAATTGTGTCAGAAATTGTATAAAATTTATATTGATAGTTTGATATATTATTGTTGTTGTTGTTGTTATTGGTTTGATATATGAAAAGGAGATTTTGAAAATATGTGAAAAGGACTTGATTGCAGAAAATGTAATTGGGTATTGAAACTAAATTCTTATCAAGGTAAAAGAGAATTTCGTTTCTTATATTGAGTCCCTGATTGAGCAAAAATCTCATTGAGAGCAATTATTTTTTTCATATTTTGGGTAAGTGTATTCTGATATATATGTGTACAGGTCTAAATTTGTTATATCTCGCCTCAGTTGCACAAGTGTCTTTGCAATGTTGTGAAGGCATAAAAAGAACTATGGTTGTTTTATTTGCTGTGTTGGTGCATCAAATTTAGACTTATTTATTTATTTTACTCCTTTAAGAAATCATCAGTATGTTTGTTGACCATAATTAAGAGCTATCATATTTAAACAAAAATCTTTTCCTTTGAACCACTTGGCTAATTTCGACTAAATTAGGCCTGATTTATCCTTTGGAGTGTACCTGAATGTTTGTGATTGATGTCTGTGACAACTGGCCAACATGGCTACCATTACTATAAATTCATCCCAGTTTATCTACTCATGAAAATTACTGCCCTTACATTCAGAAATTTTTATGAAACAACTAATTCTAAACCATTATTAGCCATCCTTGCAGAGATTGTTGGACTGATATGTAATATTTATTTTTATAATGATAATTTACAATCACATATACATTTGATAGTGGTTTAACTTTTTTTTTTTGCTATTTTTAATAAAAGAAATTGATCATTTTAGAGTAAATGTCATGACAATTTTTCTCATTTGATGTTGGCTTTTTTTGCAGATATTTAACTGATATTTTAATATATAATAAATAAATATTAATCA